TGATGATGAAGATTACGAAACATTTGAGAATTATGCACCACCCGATTATGAGCTATTTCAGGACCCACCAGATCTAGAATCAACAATTGATAACCAAATTTTATGGTTTTTGCTCTGGATTATGACATTTCGGACAAGATTCAACATAATTGAGATAGCAATCGAGGCTTTGATAAAATTTATGAAATTAGTTTTGACAGAAATCAGTGGAGATGGTTTTAGAGACTTTCCAGATTCGATGTACTTAACAAGGAAAAAACTTGGATTAAAAGATCATTTTCATAACTTTGTTTCTTGTCCGAAATGTCATAAACTGTATAAAAAACAGGAAGTGATAAATTTTAGACAAGAAGATTCACTTGCTATAATGAAGTGCCGACATGTAGAATTTTCTAATTCGTCACTCTGTAAATCATGACTTTGCAATATAACTATATTTCGAACCATTGGTATTTTGGCAAATCAAGTAGTAATTCGATCTAATTTAATATTTCCATTTTCTGAAATCAGACAACAACTCGCTTTGATATATTGTCGGCCTTGTTTTGAAAGTTGTTTAAGACAATAGCAAATCATCGGCATTATGATAATATTAGAACTGATATATATAATGGTCAAGTATAGCAGATATTGAAAGAATCTTCTGAAGAAAATTGGCAAAATTTTTTTAGAGATGAAGTGGCTGATTCTCACCTTGGATTAATGTTGAACTTGGATTGGTTCCAGCCTTATAAAGGCACTGTATATAGTATTGGTGTTATTTATGCTGCTATATGTAATTTGCCGCGTGATATCTAATTCAAACATAAAAACCTACTGACTCTTGGCCTCTTACCTGAGCTAAGTGAAGTAAGTTTGCACATTTCAGCCTAGATTAAGAATATTCAAGTGTCCAAAATAAATCATTATTTAGCACTGATTGTTAATGAATTGAAATCTCTTTAGGATGGAATAACTATAGATAAAACATATGAATTTCAAGAAGAAAGGACCATTCGTGCAGCTCTAATTCTTGTTTTATGTGATATACCAGCTACTAGAAAAATATGTGGTCATGTTTCAGCCTTAGTATCATATCATAGGTGTGAGAAGAAAGCAAATTATGAAAATCGGCAGCATAATTTTGCAGGTATGGATGATTTTGATGATTAGTTCTTTATGCGAGATCTAACTGAATATTGTCAGGATGCTTTAGAATGGAGATATTGCAATTCTGATGCTTCACAAAAGCGATTTGTAAAATAAACTGGTATAAGATAGTCTGAATTATTGCGATTATCATATTTTGACCCTATTAGATTTATCACAATCGACCCAATGCATTATTTATTTTTAGGAATTGCACAATAGATAGTAAAACGAATTTGGATTGATAGGGGAATTTTAACATCAAATGCCTGAAAAAAATTCAGAAAAAAATGAATGAGTTTCAGATTCCATCTGATTTGGGTCGAATTCC